TCATTAACCGTGTTGAATTCACCTGCTAGTCGTCAGTTCTGGTGTCTTTGTTTGCTTCTGGGAAACTGAAAGGAGTTTGAGGAATCGGGAGAACAACAAATGGCGACAAGACCCAACCAGGAAGTGAATGTGTCTGCGGTACGGTTTCCAAAAGGCTCAATTTAGGAAACGTTCAGATCAAAATGTTGGAGTTTCCAAACTTAAACCAAGTCTCGGTTTCAGGAGTCTTAAAGCACTGTGGTAGTGTGGACTCAACTGGTGTGGACATTCACAGTAAACACACGCACACGATATACTGAACGTAAATAATTAATATTTATCAATCTTAATGTCAATTACTGCCGTTGCCCGGATACTATATTTGGACCAACTGTTTTCTGATTGGAGGCTCTTTAAACTTTAAAACCAATAAAGCGTCTTTGAACTGAATGTATCTGTAATCCGTCCAACGGTCAGATGTTTCAGCCCCGATCCAGAAGACACCCAGCGAGAGTTCTGTCCCTGTTTCTGTTAAATAATAAACCGCTATCAAATAATACCAAAACGAGGGAACCAGTAAATCAGAGGAAGACACCAGGAGGGCTTCTGGCAGCCATCCTCTGTGTGATGTGTCCTTCAAAAACAGATGATGATTAAACTCGAGCCTGGTTCTGAATCTACAACAGGCCGCCGTTGCCACCGCCGCCGCCGCCGCACAGATGCAGCCGTTGGTGGTGATGATGGAGGAGGACGGAAAAAAAAAAGAGGCGCTTCTATACGAGACACACTGACTTTGTCTTTGTCTGTCCTTCTGACTCAAAGCTTTTCTTTATGGCCCTTCTGCCGCTGCCAGAAGTGATCAGACAGCGTGATCCTTCTGCTGCTTCCACACACACACACACACACACACACACACACACACACACACACACACGTTGCAAATGGAAAAGCCAATTATCCACAGCGCCTGCTCCAAACCAATCAGCTGCAGCCGCCCGGTTCGTGGCCTGTAGCTGACATCCCGGCTGCCAAATTCAGAACTTAATTCTGTTTTTAGTCAAATTTTTGTCTGTCAGAATCCTCACCGATACACACACACACACACACACACACACACACACACCACCTCCTCCATCCTCCACCCCTCGGTTTCATCAGGCAGCAGCAGCAGCAGCAGCAGAAGAAGCAGCAGTCCTGCCGGTTGCCATGGCAACACTTCCTCCTGCCCTGAGTGTGTGTGTGTGTGTGTGTGTGGTCGGCAGGCAGGGCTAGTCGCACTACTTGAGTGAATCCACAGTGTGCATGTATTAACAGTGTGAATGCACAATGAGTGAATGGGAACAGAAAACACACACACACACACACACACACACACACACACAAACACACTCGCTGTCTTTGAGCAAACATGTTTGTGAAAGAGACGCACTGTGGTAGAGGCAACGCACACACACAATCCGGCAATCCTGCATCTTAAAGCGCCACTTGTACACTCCTGAATTTAACCTAAATCGAGACAAAGAAGGTGAAGATCGGAAAACGCCGGCAGAACACGCAGTGGGCGGAATATCAAAGACAGGATTAGAAATGTTCTTGATTGGCTGTGGATGGATCCTCACTTCCCCCCCGTCTTTTTTTTATTTATTTTTCTTATTTTTGATTTTGACGTGGGTGAACAAACATCACGTCTTCTTCTACCCCCTCACCACCAATCTGCAGCCGTTCCAGCTTTCCGGATAAAAAGGCAGGAATCAGCTGGAGCGGCGCAATCCATCTGTGATCCCGCCACCGGCTCCTTCGTCTCCCCTTCGGCTTCATTATGAGATTTAAGGCCGTGCTGGGAAACGCTGCTTAAGTGTGTCTGTGTGCGGTGTGAGTGTCAGTGTGCAGATTACCCCTCCAGCGGTGTGAAATCGGGCCGGGCTCTGAGGGGAATTAGATTAAAACTGTCCAAGACGTTTCTATTGTCAGTTCTCAGATCAAAGAACTTCATCTATCGTCAGTCTGGCTTCGGGGAGGAATGTTCCTCGACACGTGACCAAATTATCGCCCCTAAGTGTGTTATGTGTGGGTTCTTTAAAGAGATCAACCCCACCCAACCCTGTTCTAAATGCCTCTGCACAGATGAAGGGTTCTGATAAGGGTGTAGACGTATGTTGGGTTTAGGGTTGGAGATGTTGTGAGATGTTGTCCCTACCTTCCTCCTCGCTGGAGTCCCTCTGAATATAAACTGGAGGCGCTGTTGACGATGACCCCGCCGCCCCTGAACTGCTCTTCGTGAAGATGCCACTGATGAACTTGAGCATCTTCCGGTCCTTTGCGGAGCCTCGTTGGCCCTGCTGAGCCTGCTGGGCTTCTCTGGCCAGACCCAGATCTTCAGACAGGCTGTTCAGGTCGCTGTTATCCAGCGTTCGGCTTTTACCTTTCCGTGCCGGTTTGGGGGCCTGGCTGGGAGGTGCAGGCAGGGAGGTTGACCCCGTCTTTAGCCTGTCCTTCCTGGGGATGTCCCTCATCACCGCAGCCATGCCGCCTCCAATCTCCAGCGGTAACCCACCGGGAGCTTCGTCCCGCAGGTCCCTCCACCCTTCAGGCCGGCTCACCTCTGCCCAGGAGGCCCTGCAGGGGCCCGGCGAGCGAGTCGCCACCCGGCAGTCCTTGCGGTCGAGGCTCTGGGCCGATGTCGGGCTGCGCTCTCGGCCCTCCCTGGAGTCGCGACCTCTGGTGGCCACGCTGCTGTGAGACTTGAGCAGACTCACCGGCCGTTGACCAGCCGGCCGGATCGGGAGGCTGGTCCTGGTCGGGGTGCGGCTCGGCTCCACCGCCTCCGGGGTGCTCGGCGTTGGAGACCATTGCTTGGCCTCTGGAGTGGTCTTCTCAACTACTGACTTCTGGATTCTCTCAGCAGGAACGGGAATGGAGAGGTTGCACGGCGGCTTTTCACTCCCGCTGGGGGGAAGTTTGTCTTTCAGGGGACTCAGGTTCTTCCTGTCTCCATCCTTGAGTTCATCGCCGCCTCCTTTCCCAACAACGCCACCATCCTCGGCTCTTTGTGGCTGCCCAATAACCACTCCGGCTCCGTTTTCAGCCCGCGCAGGAGCTCCACCTTCGGCCTCCACCTCCTTCCCCTGGCTGCCGTTCTTGGCCTCCCCTCCATTCTCCTCCACGGCCTCTACCTTGACCAGGGTGAGGGAAATGAGGTAGGTGGTGCGTTGCTGCAGGGCGCCGCCTCCGCTCATGAGGTCAGGCTTCAGTGGACACACGGCAGATGAAGGAAACCAGACGGAACAACATGAACAACTGACAGGTTGCCAGTTTGTTGGGATGTGGAAGAATCTGACGGCGCGACGGAGACAAAAAACTTACACGGAGGGAGATTAACTTTCTCCTCGGAAGACACGACAGCAGAGCGGCTGCCGGTTTCATCCATCCCCCAAAATCCCTGTTGTCTTTGTTTCCGACTTTAATTCCAGTCAGACTGTAATTTTCACACAAAATCCACTCTTTCTGACACCCGTCACAGTCCGAGCAGCTCTTTTGTTCCTCGAAAACACCCAATTAAAATCTGTCCACTGCATATGTGTGCAGCTGCTGAGGCAAATAAATCTTCATTATGGTGTCTGGAGCCTCATTCCTGATGGTAATTATTTACTTGACCTTAATTTATTTTTTCTTGCAGGAGCAGCAGCAGCATCATCTTACATGTTGCTCAGTCCATCCTCAGAATAACAACTGGCCCGCATCAGACGTCATCAGCAGCGAAAGGTGAAGTCTTTAAAAATGCATCAGTGTCACCCTAAAGCAGCGTGGCTCAGCGCTCCAGCTCCGGATCAGCGCAAAAAAGCCTCACATGTGTGTTGACAGCAGCAGCGGCAGCAGCAGCAGCATCCGTTCGGGCAGCCTCGCAGGAAGGACACCGCCGAGGGGCTGGAGGAGCCGACAGAAGCCGAGCCGGGCGGATATCTGCAGACGCACGACCGAGCGAGGGCGCGTCCGGCCATCCCGCCCCTCTCTCCGTCTCCTGGGCCGCCCCGCGTCCTCCGAGCGCATCAGGCGGCTCCAACCGACCGCCTCCGAAGCCTCCCGACAGACGCAGGTTCAGCGAGTCCGAGCACATGCACACGCCCTCGCACACACTGATAGGAATCTCCTCCCTCCACAGGCCCCTCCTCGCTCCGATAGGCGATCCATACAATGCAGAAGGAGCTCGTTTTTATTTCCTCTCAGCCTGTGCAGGGTCTTTTTTTTTTTTTATTGCTCATCTCCCCTCCCCTCCATCTTCCTCAGGAGGAGGGGGGGAGGCAGCAGTGCACACATGAGCTGCTAAATGTTTGGAGATGAGAATAAAAAGACTAATGCATGCATCAGATTGGGTGTGATTTCCAGATTTCTTTTTTTTTTTTTTCTCCTAATGCAGCAGCCAGAGTAGTTTCATCAGCATCCTGCATGAGTGTATTCAAGCCTGTGTGGCTCCTCCTCAGTAGGAGGTTTGGCTTGTTTGTTGCTAAGGTGTTACAATCTTCCTGGCTCTGATGGCACAATCATCTCCTCCATGTCCTTCCTCCTCCTCCTCCTCCTGCTCCTCTTGCCTTTGGTACATTCTGTATCGCTCCCAGGATATCAAAATGGTGTTTCTGTGTGTGTGTGTGTGAGCTGCACATGTGAGTAAAAGAGATCCCCTGTGAGCCTATTGATCTGCAGTCTATCGGCTTCTACGGCATGTGTTCATTAGCAGAAGTGGGCTCGCAGCGTGAGCGTTCGTCGATATCGAGGCCACAGAATGCAAAAATAATGAGAGAAAAGTAATCTGAATGTAACGCCAAATGTTGCTGCTTTGCCTGCGTCAGTGATTAGTTGAGAGTGGTAGCTGAAAATTGTGAAAAAATGCACCACAGTTTCCTTATTTAGCATCATAGTTGGTCAATTAATACTTAATCCTCTGTTAAAGCCACCGTTTTCACACTTACACACACTAGTTTTTGCACTAGATGTTTTATATTTGCACATTTCTTATTGCACTTTTAAAAAATATGTGAGAATGTAGTGACAGGATAGCTGAAGAAAGTCTATTTTGTTCTAAACTTTACTGTAATGCAAGACGAGCAACGAAACTTTCCTCAAAACTACAGAATGCTCGGTGCCAAACCAGAAACCGCAGCTGCAGCAAACTGAAAATTGCATCACAAATCTCTCATTTATTGTCATATTTAGCCCAATTAGTACTTTAAAACACATTTTACTGTAAGGCAAGACGAGCAAATGTGGCTCTCTCGTGTCAGAATCTGGGATTTTTGCTGTTCTAAAGGAATAAAACGACCAAATGCTGCGTGCAACACATGATTCCAGTAATCCTGTGTAATTCGGTGTTATTTATTTTTGGATTTTTAAGAAAAGAAGCTGCTTGAGTGCAAAAACTGCATCACAATTTCCTCATTTTATCGTCGCATTTAGTCCAAATAATAGTTCGAAACTTGCTTTACTGATAATTTACCCAAAAGCACAAGAGGAACTGCTGCAATTACGCTGCGTGCAACACCAGAAAATGCATCACGGTTTCCTCGTTTATCGTCATACTTTGTCCAATTAATGGTTCGTGACTCGCTTTACCGCAACGCAAGACAAGGAAATTCTCTCATGACGTGTTCCTCGCAATAACTGCATTTTCTCATCCAAGCTGATGATACACCCAAAAGCACAAGAGGAACTCGTCTCCGTGCATCACCAGAAACACTGCAGCAAACACGAAAAATAAAAATTCTGGGTTTTTTTTGTTTTTGAAAAGATGTGAGTGAAAATTATGTCAAAAATGCATCACAATTCTTTCATTTATCGTCTTTTTAGTCTGATTACTGGTTCAAAACTCACTCAAGACGAGGAAACTAAATTCACTCGTTCCTCAAAACTAATGATTTTTTTTTTCTGTTCTAAGCTGATTGTACACCCAAAAGCAAAAGAGGAACTGCTGCTGTGTGCAACACTGCAGCAAACACGATTACACATCCAGGTCTAATTTTGTGTTAATTACTCTCGGAAAACATGAGATGATGCGAAATCAGAGGACGTCTTCTTCTTCCTCCTCCTCGGTGCAGCAGCCTCCATCATCCAGGATGTGACCGTCCACCTGCTCGGCCTGCTCCCTCCTCCCATCCTCAGTCAGCGAGAGGCCAATAACTACTCGCGCTGAATACAAAAGACCCTCTGACAAAACCAGAGTCGGCTCAAGGGGAAAACGTACGACCTGAGAGGAGGAAACGGGCGGCTACAGCAGCCTCCGACGCAGAGGAAGAGTCGGCAGACTTAGAAGATCAGGCTGCTTTTTTTAAAAAGAAAACCAAAACACACTCCGGAGCGTAAAAAATCCATTTTTAACAAGTGCCTGTGTGAGTTAAGGTGCACGTAAGGTTGCAGCAGATTGCGGTGCTGCATGGTGAATGTCATTAACACCCACGTATGACAGAAAATCAGACACATGGAGGCTCCGGCCTGCATTCACATACAGACAAAGCGACACACACACACACACACACACACGATCTGACACTCGAGGGCAGGTGCTGTCAGATGGACGCCGGCCAAGGGCAGTGGTCATGCTGGGTGATTTTTCATTTCTCCTTCACTGTGAGCTGTCCTCGCTATCTTCCCCCTCCTCTGCCGCCACGCTGCAGCGATCACCATAGTCAGATTCGCATTTAAACGTCTCCATTCGCCTCCCAGGAACTCCATTTTGCAGCCTCTCCTTTGGCGTGCACTCAGTCGACCACCTTATTAAGTCCAAAAAAAAACGAGCGGTGGCTCTCTTTTTAGCACCAGTGAACTCTACGCTCGTTCATCCAGGCCCCCTTTGAGGATTGGCTGGCTTTGATCCTCACCACTACACCCCACAAGCCTAATTATATGAAAGAAAATATTCAGCTGAATGTTTCTACTCGTTGGGGAAGCCTCTCAGAGTGTGTCAGGATGTGCCAGGCCCTAAAAAGACCTCGAAAGTTCGCCAGAATCCATCAGGGGAGCCGAGTGACCTTCAGTTCGCAGACAAGCAGCGCAACAGATTAACAAACAAACCCGTTAATCAGAAGGTGAGCTGCTTGTTACGACCTCAGCAGTGGTGGAAAGTACTCAAGTACTATACTCAAGTACAATTTTAAGGCCATTAAACTTGTTCTAGAAGTGATCCAACCAAATAATACAACTCAGAGCTTTTCTAAAATCCACTTTCTGTCATATTAAGTTCTTCTGATCACATTTTCTGATCACTTTGTTATTGATTAGCTATCTGATGCCATGTACAGGATGTATGGAGGAGCCTGTAGAAGCGGGTCTCAGGGAGTTCTGCAGTTTTTTTTCCACATGCTAATTAATTGTTTTGAAGGTTAACTTAATTAGTAACTTCATGAGTCATTTTGAGCGGGAAAAAGTAGCAGCTAGCTAGCTAGTGAGACAGAGTTAGGGTCAGTTACGAATCATTTTTACATACTTTACTGTTAAAGATAGTCTCAGCTGATAGTTTCAAGTCCTTTTCACTTCAACATGGTGCTTAATTTGTGAATTTTGGTAACATTTACAGTAAAATAGTCGCATGCCACGTCTGAGTCCAAAAAAACAAGATGGCGACCGCCAAATTCCAGACTCAAGACTTTTCTGATGACTTCGTTAATGGCGGGTTATTTGATGCTATAAAGGTAGTTTATGGAAACATCTGTTTAATAGCTGTTTCATACTGTAATAACCGACATGCTGAGTCACCTTTGTGTTCATGTTTTGATTGTTAACTTATTTAGTAACTACAGGCTAAGGCGGGCTAACAGCACAACCATTTTAAATGAGAAAAGGTAGTAGCTAACTAGCTAGAGAGAATGCTCACAGTTACGAATCTTTTTTTTAATCTCGAAAGCAATACGCATACATACTTCATTGTTAAAGATTGTCTCAACTGATAGTTTCAAGTCCTTTTCACTTCAACATGGTGCTTATTTTGTAAAGTTTGGTAACATGTACAGTAAAATAGTCGCGTGTCACTTCTGAGTCCAAAAAACAAGATGGCGACCGCCAAATTCCAGACTCAAGACTTTTCTGATTACTTCATTAATGATGAGTTATTTGGGGCTATAAAAAGGGTTTAATAGCTGGTTCATACTGTAATAACTGACATGCTGAGTCACCTTTGTGTTCATGTTTTTAATGTTAACTTATTTAGTAACTAAAAGCTACGGCAGGCTAACAGCACAACCATTTTAAGTGG